GCCCTTTTCACCAAGATGTTCCATTATTGAGCTATACAGGTATTTCTTACACCTCTCACTCCTCCTAGCCATAGGCTATATGGGCTGCTACAGTACCCATAATAAATCAGTTTGTTTGCTACTCATCATAGATTTTAGTATTTCTCTGGATTTTAATTTTTAAAAGCAATATAATCACTATTACACAAAATAATGAAGATAACCTTTATACTGATTATCTTTTACACTGATACGGTATGTACTTTTAGACTGTTAGCAATACTGATAAATATTATGATATTAAAATAGTGGTTCTGTTTTTATGCACACTCCACTGTGCCTCTTGTAAGGCACAAAAGGAACTAAATGTATTTAATGCGTTTTTCTAGAATATAGGGGAAAAGTCAAGGTTCTAGAGGTCAGCAATTATGTATTTTGTCTGTCTCTTGCATAGTCACTTTGGTTGAATCTAATCCAGAGAAACTGCAATTTATGGTATTATACCAAACGCAGTATCATGCATGGGATCTCTTTTACACCTCCTCTTCATTTCTCACCACCCTGGAAATACTAACATTTTTTCTCCGTTATTCAAATAGGTACATATATGTTAAATAACACAAGAGGATCATATTCTAGCATAGTAGAGGAATAATTCCATTTTATCTAAATTAATTATAAAAGCTTAGATTAGTACTTGTGTCTCTGCTTAACACTGGCCCAGGGACTGAGCAGCCTGTACCTACAAAGCTTAATCGTGGTTTTCTCTCTCCCATCTCAGCTACCACAGACTACCTTGTCCTTTGGTAATTGTTCACATCTAGCCTTTTCCCCATGTTGTGATGTGACCTGTTAACTTGGATTGTGACCCGTATTTGTCACAGCCCTGTTGTTTCTGATAATTATAACTTCTTTTGCTCATGGTGCTGGCATTCATAGAATGAAGGATATGATCATAAAAATCCCTTAAAAACCAGTGACTAATAGTAAAAATCAAATATATTCTCATGTTTGGAGATTGAATTGTGCAGAGGTGATAAATACCAAGCGAAGTTTGCTGTTCTTATGTCTTGCTAAAGAGCATTCCTTCTGAAGTACAATGAACAAAGCTTTTAGTTAATTGTAGTAAATCCCCATATTGTTACATAAAGACTTATCAGCAAATTACCGTTTGTAAGTCAGGGTCCCCTGAAATTCTTCCCCAAGAACTTGAAAAGAAGATTGCCCCAGAGAATTAAAGTCTTAAGTCAGTACCTAATGGATGAGATTAGAGTTGAGCAAATATATCTTAAAAAGCGTAATGGCTTTCAGGTAGATAGAATTGTTTTCAAGGAGAGAGTCTGGTGTTTCTTAGCAGTGCCACCGTGGTTTGATTCTTAGGCCTTATAGCTACCATGTCTTTGTTACTTACAAGTCCTCACAGTATGGTACCCACAGTCAATCCAACATATTAGCTATAAGAGAAATAACTATGTTCTTAGCAAAGCTGTCTTTCTAATAAGTAAGGTCATAGTTCATCACTTAGAATTCTTTGACCCATTTCTCTAAAGTAAAGTAAACTAGAATGGCCTGCCAGAGAGAATGCTATTTTCTGCAACTGTAATTTATTCTGTTTGCCAGAGGTTGATATTTCTTTTTCTCCTTTCCCTCAAATTGCTGTCTAGCTTGTTTAATACTGTTAGTTGATTACTAGGTTTTAACCCATGGTAACTTCTGTCATGGGTGGTTGAGCTAAAGTTGTTAAACATTTGAAATAATGTGCACTGTTGCCAGTAAGGTTGTTCTAGGTTTTGTGAGGGAAAACTGACCAGCAGTATCTTTCTGTATAGAGTTTCTAAATTCAGTTTGTATCTCTACAAATAGTCAGTTACTTTATGGCTTTAGATTGTTAAATTCCTGAGCTATAGGCTTCTTCACATATCAGCAAGCTCTGTATCTTCTATGCTGAGGGGGAAAAAAAAAACAACCTAAAGCAGTAATTTAAATTCTGAACAACTTAAACCCAAACATTTTACATTATTTTAGTTTGGGGAAAATCTACAAGATCAATAAAAACTTCATTGTGAATTAAAGTTAAAGGTTAGTATAATATTTTGGCTTCCTACTGCTTTGACCTTGTTGAATGATAAACAGTCTCAACTTGCCATGATGATGGGTATTTGAAATGGAAAATCTGTTTCATTTGTGTAAGACTTCAGTCTCTGACTTTAAAACCTCAGAAGCTCTCCAAGACTATGTGTGTATGCCTGACTGTATGTTTCAGTACTCTAAAGTTTCACCTCTTGTCAATGAAAACTGATGTCAGTGAACTAATTGGCTCTTCTTGTGCGTAGGTACCCTGACATGCCCACCGCTGCTGATGTTGTGAATGCTTTAGATCAACAGGCACTTGCATCCATCCTAAGGACATACGGGGAAGAGAAGCATGCCAGGAAAATAGCTTCAGCAATTGTTCAGGCACGTAGCATCTATCCCATCTCCAGAACCCAGCAGCTTGCCAGCATCGTCGCAGGTATTCTCATTAATTCTGAGCAGTGTCTGAAAGAAGGAAAAAAGTGTATGTGTGTGTGCATGTATGTGTATATATAATGTGTACATATATATAATATATACACATACACATGTATATTATATATATGCATATATGTGTGTGTGTGTGTGTATATATGCATGTATATATTCTCTCAGACTCCCAGAGGAATTCATTTGTGCTTGAAATCAGGCAGAATGGAATCTTGCCTTTCTGTAACGAAAACTTTCTTTTGGGTAGAAGCTTCTCTCCTGCAACATCTCTCCCCCACAAACAATTTTTATAAAATATACTGTAGTTTGCCAATAATTTTTTTTTACGTGAAATATTTGTCGTTTGTGCCTACCAGAGTGAACTATGGAATCACAAGAGCAAAAGAATTTCTTGATCCATCACAGTGGTTGATAAGCACCCTGTATAAGATCTGACATTACCTTTCTCAGTTTCACACTTCTGCATTTTAATATTTTGGGCAAAAGGAGAATTGCATTGCCCAATTGCTAAAATAAAATCCAGTGACTCATACATCTATTCTAAACAACCAGCTAACAAAGGGTATGTGATGTATAGGTTATTCCACTTTGTGAATGCTAACTAAATCAGCCTGAGGGGTTTATTGAAACATTTCATCTTGTCTGCTATTTACCACCATAAACCTCTTGCACCTAAGTCTAGCTGGGAGGTGCTTTATTACAGCCTTTTTGTTTGAAGCCAAAGTTGTTTCACAGCTGTGTTCCATGAAGAAAGTTTTCCAAGGCAAAAATACAACTCTTGTAGTTATTTAACAGAATTCCAGGGGTAAATTTTTCATCTTGTTGGAACTTCTGAACTCCTTTATCATTTTTATTTGCCAAATATATTAAGACATCTTTTCAGTTTCTTATTAAGTTTCTTAAGTAGTTAAAGAAGTAGGGAAAAAAAGTATTTGTATAATTTATAAAAATAAATTGATATTTGCTGCCTCTATCTTTATAGTTTAGGCGATAAAAATTATAAATTTATTGATATCATTATGATTTAGAGATCATATAGCAATTATTTTATGATGTAACTAAATTAGACTCTGTCTCACTTAGTTATCATAATAAAATATGAAGAGTTAACTATATCTTTAATTTTTTAATTTTTATTATCTTTTTTTATTAAATCATAAACACATAGATCATGTATACATTAATGCATTTATGGGGTACAGTGGGCTGATTGCATATGGAATTAGGAGTGTTTACATTATGCTGGTTAATACATACCTTGTCTCATTTACTTAATTATTGTGTTAAGACACTTATACTCTATACCTAATAGATCCAACATCTTTAATTTTTTAAGCTGCCTACCTCAGAGCTTTTTACTTAGTTACTTTAAGGCAAGTAAGAACAGAATTCTGGTGGGCTGTATCAACATAAAATATTTCATGAAATTTTTACACAAAGTAGTCTATGTTAGCAGGCTGACATTAAATTCACCTTGTTTTATGTTCCTTTTTTTCTTCCCACTCCATACTCACTAACATGTCTCCACCTTATCTTTTCTGTCATTCTTTAACTATGTGTGTTGTTTTCTATCTCACATATTGGAAAGTAAAGCAGTGAGAAGTCACATTTTTTATTCATAAGAAAATCCAAATTTTTGAAAATGAGAGATTGGGGCTTGAGAACTGAATCCCAGCAATTGTCCAGTCAAAAAACATCATATGATTACTGAAGACATGAATGCTTGGGGAAGATCTAGTTTCTTCAAGATTATAGCCTAATTATTGACAGAATTAGTCTAATATTTTGAAGCTAATGATTTGAGACCTAATTAGGAGTCTTCCTTTAAGTTAATTTTTTTGTCTGTGGATCCTGATCTATAAACTTGGGGAAATAACTCTTTGGCATTAGATAGAAATTATACAAAGATCTACAATAGAAATAATTTAAATACTTTCAGAAAGAATGTGATGTGAAAAGCACATTAGGGCCATGACAGATGATATAATAAAAATGAGAATATCCATATATGGGCAATTTAATCTCCATTTTAGTAAATGCCGTTAAGTTCTCTATAATGAGTTCACTTTTATATCTTCAATATCAGCCCATAATGATTCATTTTAATTAATGATGATTGATATTTTGGAAAAGGGAAAAACAGAAAATACGTATTTTCACTTTGTGTTCATTTGGATAGGCTGCATAGACTAGTGACTATCCCAAGCAGTAAGGGTAGAATGGGAGCAAATCAGTTATAGCCTCCGTGCTTACAGAGTTTACAGACGAGTAGATTCTACAGGCAGGTAACTAAAATACAAATGCAGCGTAACAAACCTCTCCTTATAGTGAAAACCTTTTTTTATTTGTTATAGTTTGGAGTTATGATTGTATAATCAATAGAAAATCTGGTAAGAGCAGAGAATTACAGACCCTATGCACTCATAGCTAATTTGATTGTGTTTTTAGTGACTCACCTTTATCAAGAGTTTCCAAAGTCTCCAACTTAGTTTTCATGAAAACAGAAGCTCATTTCATGAAAAGAAATGGGTAAAGTTAACTGAATACTGTATTTAACCCAAAATACATATAGTATTACCATTTTAACATGTGGAAATAAAAATTATTAATGAGGTATTGTAAATTCTTTTTTCAAACTAAGTCTTCAAAATCTGGTGTGTGTTTCACATTTGTAGGCATCTTTCAATTTGGGGTAGTCACATTTCAAGTGCTTTATAGCCACAGGTGGCTATTATCAACTGTGTTAAATAGATTTCTTTTTTCTTTTTAAGTGTTACTATAGAAAATTTTAAATAATTTATGGGTCACATTATGTTTTTATTAGATACTATTATTTGGGACTGTAAGCTCCATGAGGGCAATATTATGACTTCCATGCTTATCATTGTGTCCCACTGCTTAGCATAATGATTGACCCTTGGAAAGTATTTGGTAAATAACTTTTCAATGTTAATATAAACAGCTAGCAAAATGCACATTAGATCAAGAGGGTCTACTTTTATAAGCTTTGGATTCAGTAAAACATCAGTGTTAATTTTAAAAAAGCTGATGTTCAGTCTCATAGTCATAAAAAGCAATTCTGCCCCATAGCAATATGCTCCAGGAATGTTAGCATTAACTTATGCAGGAAAATCAGAAGAACCACATTGCCCTCCCAGTATTTTAGTTTATCATCTTTAAGTTGAAATGATATCTATTTTTACTCTTTAGGAATGCTATGAAAAATAATGCTCTGATAAAATATTTTCATTAATTAAAAATCTTTTTTTTTTTTTTTTTTTGAGACAGAGTCTCACTGTGTTGCCCTTGGTAGAGTGCTGTGGTGTCCCAGCTCACAGCAACCTTAAAGTCTTGGGCTTAAGTGATTCTCTTGCCTCAGCCTCCCAAGTAGCTGGGACTATCGGCACCCACCACAACGCCTGGCTATTTTTTTGTTATAGTTGCCATTGCTGTTTGGCAGGCCCTGGACCTAGTTGGAACCCACCAGCCCCTGTGTATGTGGCTGGCGCCCTAGCCACTGGGTTACAGGTGCTGAGTCATAAAAGCTTTTATAATAACAAATGATACACATAAAAACTTACAAACTTTTCAGGAGAAAGAAAATGTATGCACTTAATTTTGGGAAAAAATGATTGTAGTCTGGATTTTACAGAATTGATCTATATTTGATTTGTAAAGTCTTAATAATTAGGAGGGTTCTAGTCATCCTTTAAATAAAGAAATCTAGATATTTTCCTCTAAAGGCAGTCTGCCCATATTTTATATTGGAGCTTTTCTAGCACTCTTTCCATTCTTTGATTATATCAAGGAGAATTACCAACTAAATACTAACTAGTTTAATAAAAATATCTTTTTTCAAGTTCTGGTCTACAGCTTATTTTCTGTGTAAACTTGAACAGATTCTAGACCTCATCTTTCTCATGTCTTAAAATGCAGGTGAGTAATAACAATGATTATTGTTACTTTTTTTGGCAAACATAACCTTTGTAATTATGTTTTGCTTAAACCAATATTGATATTCACTTGTAGACTCAGAACTCATGCCAAAATCAAAGTATAGAAATCACTTTTTAGATCATTGAGATGTAGATTAAATTTACAAAATACTTAATTTGATCTATCAACAATCAAAAACTGACAGAAGGCTCATAATATCATTATTTGAATGGGAAAAAGGAGGGCAGAAGCTTTTTAGATATTTGTGATTCATGTTGATTAAATATATGGACTTATTCTCTGCCTAGAACTTTTACGTAACCTTTATTCTGACTCATGAACTGGGTACATGGCCAGAGCTTAATGAATGCTTGTTGAACAAATAAATCAATAAAAAGGTGTGTACATTTCCAGCCAAAGTAAAAATGAAATTCAAAGAAAAAAAAGTAGAAGTTGTTAGGTGTTACTAAGGATAAATTGTACTCTGCTCTTCACATTGGATGGGGGTATGACCTAAGCATCAAAGTCCTCAGTATAAATTAAAGTAGATTGAGGAAAAGTGAGACTCTCCAGGACATGGAATAAAAAATCCTCAAGTTCTATTTCTAGTTCTGCCAGTTATTTCTCTGTTCCTTGAACTTTAGCATATTTATCTTTCTATCCCTCATTTCCTCATCTGGAAAATGGAAATAATTAAATCTTTCTATCACCAATAAATAAGATGGTTTATAAGAATGTTCTTTGTGATATTTGAGCTGCAAGTATAATTGTAAGCATTTGTTTTCTCCTCTCTGTCTAGAACCAGTGTAATCCAGAGAGTAAGAAGTGGACTTCCCCTTCTACTTTTTTGTCCATAGACTGTGGGATTTGCGATAGGCTGATTACTTCATTCCAAGCTGTTCTTCCCTTAAAGGGTTATGTGACTTTTAGAAAATAGAAGAATAATCATCTTTTCCTTTATGAGGACATGTACGATTTATCTTTTCACAGTGGCATTGATGGCGTATGCCTCAATTTGTGTCTGAAATCATCTTTTTTCCAACAAAGTAGCAA